ATATTTTAAGATGTATATATAGTATATAAATCGAATATAGCTTATATATCTTTATTACCATTTTTTTTCTCTAACTTCTATAAAAAAATAATAATTAAAAATAGAAAGTATCAGTTGGGCCCGCTTGGGCCCACTTAGGCCCGGGACCGGTCCACTTAATCCGGGGACCGTTAGTTCGTGGTCCCGGTCCCGAGCCGGTTCCAACAAGAAGCCCGCGAAGCCCGGGACCGTTTAGGACCGGACCGCATAAGAACGGCCCATGTAGGACCGCCCCACTTAGGACCGGGCCCGACCCACATGCCAACCTTATTCTCCATACACTCACTGAAATAAACACATAAGTATTTATTATAAATATCTTAACCTCAAGCCGAGCATTATTTACTTGATCATTGCAACGGGTTTTCAGCAGATATTTTCTTAGCATTAATGATTTAACGATTCAAACAGCCTTCAAATGTGCCCCCCTTCATATACTCTATTTCTAAAACATAAAAAGACATTCCTTTTATCCACCAACGGAATGTTGAAAACTCAAGATTTCAAACAGTTCTTGACACTCCTGACTCCACATTCTTCTACCAAAATGGCCTTTCTTGTTCTTGACACTCTACTATATCTCCTCCCTTTTAGTATGATACTATCATGTGTTAAGTCAATGAGAAATTTTGAGATGACAATGTATCCACATAACATTTTTTATGTGGGTGCAGGAACCATAGGACGAAGAGACAAATAGGTTTAGCATGTAGTCATATGAAAGTGTACGGTAACTTCAGCAGCAAGTCCGTTGTAGTCTAGTTGGTTAGGATACTCGGCTCTCACCCGAGAGACCCGGGTTCAAGTCCCGGCAACGGAATTTCTTTTGTCCTTTTCGTCTCCTGTTTTTCCTGAAAAGGAAAAGTTCTGTCTCGCTTACGGAAAAATGAAGTTCCAGGTACTAAAAGGTAGTCAGATACTCATATAATTCAAAGCGAGACTTTTCACAATTATCCTCTTCTGGAAAGAAAAAAGTTCATCTTTTTTTCCCATTGATATTCATATATATAATCTATATACATGACAACGTAAAGATTATAAAAATCCACTAAATTTTTTATAATCACTTAATTGAAGTTCAGCCGCAGCTAAAGATATTTAATAATCAATTTCTTAAACACTAGTCTCATTTTTCATTATAAAACGATTATTTTTTTGCGGAAACGATAGATTTTGTTTGATTAGTTAATAATCATTTATTTGAAATTCAGACGTAAAGAATTATTATTAAAATATCACTTTTTAAATTACAGGTAGCAGTTTTATAATCAAAAATTTAAAACCAAGCGCATGTGGTTTGTGACAACTTTCTCTCCTCAATATTCATCCCCCCATCCCCCAATAAAAAATAGGCAGAAGTAGGCAAAGTTTCAGATCCAGTTTCAGAATGTTTTATAACTTCTAAAAGGAGCACTTAACCATTTCTTTTATCAATTCAAAGATCACATTGACTTTGCAGGCATGAAACACAGAAAAAAAGTTTATTGAGTTTTGTCATGCTTTTGACGTCAAAAATGAGTGAAAACTATTGCTCAAAAATGAGTAAACTGATCTTCGTTTTGTCATGCTTTTGACGTCATGTGTAGTGGAACCGGAGATTACATTACATTTGGTAATAGCACAACCAGAAGATAAAGGAGACTCCGTTATGTGTCCATAGAACCTAAGAGGATTCTGGATTTAAACTTGATTGGTTCAACCTTAAAGTAGTTATCACTGAGCCTATAGCACTTCTGGAATTATGAGTTTAGAATTTAATGTGCTAAAAATTTAGTGACTTTTATTGTATAACTATATTCCGTATTGGAAATGATGGGTTCAGTTGAAACCACTTTAGACATGATACACCCACCACTGAATAGCACAGCACATCTATTTTCAGTACAGAAGCAACAAGGGGTCACCCAGCCAAACATAGGTGTGAATCCCAGCAATGCAGATCATCCTGTGAATTATGGGATAAAAATGCAAACCCCTTGATCTATCAATTTTCACTAGAAAAAGTCACATGAAGTAATGAAGATAAGATGATCTAGGTTACACTCTTGGGTTGATCAGTGTTCAACAAATTGGCTAACATTCTAACTCGGAAAGCAAAAGCTAGAATGACAAACATACTCTTCAAATAGTGACACCTAAATTCGAGTCAAATACGGCAAGAGTAGACAACAATTGCAGAACTAAAATAGAAGCAGAAGGGAAAGGGCAAACGGAGAGATAAAACTGGGTACAGAATAATAAAAACTTGAATTCAAGTTGAGAAAAAATGATACAGTGGCATTTCACAAAAACCCGTTGTCCTTGAAAGTTGGGGCATCAGATTAACCGACTTCTTTATTTAGAGATCTAATCTATAGCAGAACCGCACATATGAACCAATTCTTCTAACCAAGCAATCAAGTACAGAATCTTGCAACCCAGAGATAAAAGGAAATTTAATTCAACAGCCAGACTAGCTTATCCATGAAAAACACAAAGATAATTCACAGTAATGGTGCACAACATTCTCTTCTTCTACTCTGCTCTAGACTGACCAGCACGAGAAGAGAGGATGATTCCAACAATAAGGCCATACAAAGCCAGGGCTTCAGCAAAAATAAGAATCAAAATCATCCCGACAAAAAGCTTTGGCTGTTGTGCATTGGCTCTGTGAAATAGATACATAAAAGAACAATTAATTAGTTTCCTTCCAAGGAAAGCTCCCTCTCAACTAAAGGTTAATATTACACCAAATCAACATTAGTTGACCATCAATACCTACAACACATCTACTCGATTAGACGGAGGGGCCGTTTGGTAGGAGGTATTAGAAAAAATAATGCAAGCATTAACTCTATGCATTACTAATACCTTGTTTGGTACATTTTTCCAACATGTGTATAACTAATACTAGTTATACATCATACTTGATATTATCCTATGTATAAGTAATGCATAAAAAACCATGGCATTAGTAATACCAAGGCTATTAATGCATGCATTAGTATGGTTAAAGACAAAATTATCCTTAAAGTCCCTTAAAGCTTGAGAATATGGAGGGCATTTTTGTAAACAACTATTTTTCTTAAAAATTATGCAATGCATTATAATTTTAATACACCACACCACACAGTAGATAAGAAATAATATCTGCATAACTAATGCTTGCATTACTAACCCATGCATTACTAATCCATGTATTACTAATACACCTTATTCCGCACTATTCTTATACACCCAACCAAACGACCCCCGACGGACATAACTTTTTAAATGACCAAGTCACAAAAGTGTAATAGTAAATCAACATCAACCATGCATTACAGATTAGCTAAACATGTAACAACAATAACAACAACAATCCTAGTGAAATCCCATAAATGGGGTATGGGAGGGTAAAGTGTACCAAGACCTTACCCCTACCTTATAACGGTAGAGAGGTTGTTTCCGAAAGACCCTCGGCTCAAGAAAAGTGAAAATGAAGCAATAAACAGACAGAAGCAAAAACAGGGTAATACGACACGGAAGCACATGGTGCAACGTGCAATAACAAAGATCTAAGAATATGACATTGTAAGAATAGAGTCATTCCTGCTGGAAATAATGACACGCTGTGTAATAGCAAGGGGCTAGGAATAGGATAATACAAGACTAGTACAAATACTACCGGAAAGACTAGACGAAACTCTAGCCTGCCTATCAACCCACAACCCTAATCCTCGACCTCCACACCCTTCTATCGAGGGTCATGTCCTCGGTAAGCTGAAGTAGCGTTATGTCCTGCCTAATCACCCCACTCCAGTATTTCTTAGGCCTCCTCCCTCTACCCCTCCTCTGGCCCACCATGGTCATCAAGGTGTCTCCTCTTCACATGTCTGAACCTCTCACACCTCCTAACCGGGGCTAAACAGGTACACTATCACTAATATAGGTCAATGAAGTAAGCAAAGAAGGGAGTATCTTCAGCTTACTAAGGAGTCTCAGGACAGCACAACAAGATAGAGAGCTACAATAGACCAACTCTTCATCACGATGGTCACAACAGCAACTGTTGCAGACACAAAATGTTGATGGCAATGCTAGTTATGTGGGATTATGAATTCCTGGTTGTCATATCACTACCTTAGTCAATTGTCATTTAATTGTCTTTACCGGAAGGCAAATTCACTATATTTTTTTGTTTTTGAAACATTGATATAGTTTCCACAAAAGCTAAGTTCAACTGGCATGAAAAATGCTTGCTATTCTTCAAAAGGGGTTAAGGTTTATTCGTTGTTGGCAGACTTACATTAGGTCCAATGTTGTCGGAGTCTTTTACTTTGGTTAGTCAATGAAGTGTACAAGATAAGCATGAGATTCAGAGAACTCTAATTTTAGGAAACTCCTAATTTATCTATTAACTTGTCTTAAACAAATTACTGTGTGCTGGAATATGATGGGTCCAAATAAAACAGAACAGATATATGTCATTCATATAGCCAACCCAACTAATTTGGTATCGAAGCATAATTATTCTTGTATGATTTAAAGGGGGGAAGAAAACAGACTGCAATCTACTGTATACTAATATAACTTAGCTAACCTTACAACTAAGAATGAGTAACTTAAGAAAGAAAAAGTAAACCTATAACAAGTACCATTTTAGCGTTATACGAGTAAAAACAAGGAAAAGAATCATCAGCCTAGAAAGATCTAAGCACATATTGAAAATACAAAAGTTAACCAAATGGCAATGACTTATATGATCATCCAAAAATGAGCAAAAATGGGCAGAAGAAGGTTACCTAACACCAGCGTCACCAACGATTCCAATGGCCATACCAGCAGAAAGGCCAGCAAGACCACAAGCAAGACCAGAAGAAAGGTGAGCATATCCATCAAAAAGATAGTAAGACTTGGTTTTCGGGTTAATCCCTGTACTAATAATCACAGCTATAATCAATCCATAAATACCCAAAACACCAGCCATAACAACCGGCACAATTGACTTCATCACCAACTCCGGCCTCATCACACCCATTGACGCCACCCCTACCCCACTCTTCGCTGTACCATAAGCTGCTCCCATACCTAGCAATATTTTGAAGATAAACAAACATAATTAACATTGGAAATAAATCAGTAGCTATATGCGGATATTATCAATCTTTTTATAGAGCATCATATACCAACTGATTCCGAATTCTAGATCCGCCTCTTAGAAAGAATGTTGAATAATAACAGTGGGATACACCTAGTATATACAATTATCCACATTGTTCGAGACATACACATACTAAACGTGCATATACAGGGGTAAGATATGGATTCGGCAGAACCCAATAGCTTTGACCAAACACTGTATAAGTCTTAAGACCTAATTAATTACTAGCACTTGAGGTCGTGTCCTAGAATGAAGAACCCATAAAGTTCAAATCATGGATGTGCATACACTGAACTCAGATCAAGCATACAATCAGTGTGTAAAAAGTATATACAATTTTTTTTATCAAAACTACTAAAGACACGCAAACATATTAGATAATGGCAAAAGAACCTAAAACAAGATAAAGTACGGAACTTATAAGAAGACAGTTGACCACTACCATGAACTTTTTGAACACAGACCCGTTGAGCTAAAAAAACGGATTTAAAAGATAAAACTTTTCAACAATGATCCAATATCGCCTTATGTCGATGATATTCGATCCGTCTCTAAAAGAAATATTATTATTTTTTTCGTTAACTTACAGGAGAAGACTAAGGCAGCAGCAGCGCCGAGGAAGCCGAAGAAGGGAGCAGTTTCGTCGCCGCTGAAAGTCGAAGACATTGTTTCTGATTGGATCTCAGAAGTGTGTAATTGATTTGGATCTGAGATACTTCTCAATGTCTTCTGAGAGAGAGAAAGGGAGAGAGAGAGAGAGAGAGAGAGAGAGATATTATTGTAGCCTTTAGCTTGTGGATGATCTCAATTTTTTGTCTTAAAAGAATCAGAGTTGTGATTGTCAACTACACACATGAGCAAAGTAAAAGACAAAAACAAAACAAGGAGTACCATTTGGGCCGCACTTTGCTTAGCCCAAGATCTTTTTAAGAACTAGACCCATTGGGCTATAGAGTTGGCAAAAAGAAATGAGAAAATGACCCTCTGTATCCCCTCAAAATTTTAATAGCCCATATTTTTTTCCATTGACCCGAAATGTCCTTCCGGCCCAAACATATTACATTTAATAGCCCAAAATATCTATTTTGTATATTTTTTGTATAGTAACAGTCTATTTTGTATATTTTTTGTATAGTGACAGTCTATTTAGTATATTTTTTGTATAGTGACAGTCTATTATATATAAATTATACAGTGACAGTCTATTTTGTATATTTTTTGTATAGTAACAGTCTATTTTGTATATTTTTTGTATAGTGACAGTCTATTTAGTATATTTTTTGTATAGTGACAGTCTATTATATATAAATTATACAGTGACAGTCTATTTTGTATATTTTTTGTATAGTAACAGTCTATTTTGTATATTTTTTGTATAGTGACAGTCTATTTAGTATATTTTTTGTATAGTGACAGTCTATTATATATAAATTATACAGTGACAGTCTATTTTGTATATTTTTTGTATAGTAACAGTCTATTTTGTATATTTTTTGTATAGTGACAGTCTATTTAGTATATTTTTTGTATAGTGACAGTCTATTATATATAAATTATACAGTGACAGTCTATTTTGTATATTTTTTGTATAGTGACAGTCTATTTTGTATATTTTTTGTATAGTGACAGTCTATTTAGTATATTTTTTGTATAGTGACAGTCTATTGTATATAAATTGTACAGTGACAGTCTATTTTGTATAGTGACATCTATTTTGTATATTTTTTGTATAATGATGGTCTTTTTTGTATATATTTTATATAGTGACATCTATTTTGTATATTGTTTTGTATAGTGACATCTATTTTGTATAATTTTTGTATAGTGGCAGTCTATTTTGTATATTTTTTGTATAGCGGCATTCTATTTTGTATATTATTTTATATACTAACAGTCTTTTTTGTATATTGAATGACTACACGTTTGTAAAACCAGTCATTACATAATTGATGTGATGCAACTTATTGTGATTTTTAATTATTTATTGTCTGTTAGTGTATCTAGGAATTGTAACAAATGGAGTATACTCCACGGATCTTATGTTTGAACTTACGTAGTATTATATAAATAAAATTTTCAGTTTCTAAAAAAGAGTATACTCCACAATTCTTAAAAGGAAAGATGCAAAACAAGGAAAAACAGAAAATTGATTTTTTGTTTTTGCAACTAAAAATTTTCATTATCAATGGAGTAATGCATAGCGAAAATTTCTTTTTTTTTTTCTTTCTGTGTAACCATATCTTGACTAAAAATAAAATCTATTAAGTGCATGTAATATCAATCTTACTACAGGAACTATCAAATTGAGAAAGTAAAGACTGATATTTATGATGTGTTATGATAATTGTTTGGATGGTGGAGCCGGGCGTAGCAAAAAGGCAGAATGAAAAAGATAAGGTGGGTTAGCGAATATTTTATTGTAGCCAATGCAATAAGTTTTTGGCTATAACTTGCAATCAAATATAATGGGCTAGCGGTTGTCTTAAGTTTGTACCGAACGACCAATTATGTCAGAACCTCAAAAGAAATGGACTTTGCTGTGACATCAATAACAATGAGACTTTTTCGTATATATATATATATATATATATACACACACAAAATTAGGATAATATTTACCCGTTTTAGCTAGATTTTCTATTTATAATAAGCAATTAATTTTTTTTATAAAATATACATAAATATGATAAAATCTAAAATTTATATATAAACTTGGATATAATTTTTTAATATACAAAATCCAGTCAAAAGTACAATTTACATACAACTTATATATACAAAAAAAATTACAGAATCCAATCAAAAAGCTAAGTGAAAATTTGTATCTGACCAAGAGCATAATTGTACAACACACGTTAATTGGACTCTAGAACAAGTTCTCTCAAAATTCTCCTATGTCATAACTGCTATTCCTCTATGTAAACTATCCTACTATACTCACCTTTACAATACAGCTAGTTACATAGGTTCCCTAACAAGGATAAATGTTTAGCTTTTCTAATATATACTTCCATTTGCATTGCTTTTGTCCAGCTATATGAACTTGCAGTATTTCTCTGACTATAGCATTAGCTTCTCTTTTCATTTGTTGAAATCTTCTTCTATTCCTTTCCAACCAAATCTGATATAAAGCCGCTGTGAACAAAAATCCTAGAACATCCCATTTAGGATTCCTGCTTTTGACTCTGTTAGCTATCCAAATTACTTCATCCTTCCATTGACCAATGGACCTGATGGAATTTACTCCACACAAACTTAGAGTAGGTACATTCAAAAAATAAGTGGTCGTGACTCGTGTGTTTCTTGCTTATCTTAAGTGCGACATGAGCACGCTGGAGGGACCTGAATCCCCCATCTTACTTATCTGTCTATTGTTGCTAATCTCTTCTGCAATGCCAGCCACATTATGAATTGCTGCCTAGGAATGAGTCCTTTGAGCATCACTAAATATTTCCGGGAGCCTTTGGAAGATGTGGTAGGGATGCATTCTATGTTTCTTAATAATGAACTTGCTTTCTACTATATAATTATTTAATTCTGCAATCCCTTTATTCAGCCATTTTCGGCATCAAAAACTTTCCTCACTAGCCAGCTAGCTTGCTTTGGTGTGTCCATAGTATTGAGGTCTCTCCCCTTAATGTATTGGTTATAAATCCAGATCACCTAGAGCTTGTCTTTCTTTTTTGAAACAGCCCACCGAAGCTGCTTTGTTCCACAAGAATAAGTCCAAAATATTCAAACCTCATATGGATCTAGGTTGGCAGAGTAGTTTTTTTTTCTTTTTTTTTTTGGCTATTTTCCTTAGTTCCATGCCAAAGAAACCTTCTGCAGATTCCAGTTACTAGTGCATGCACCTTCTTAGGCAAGAGGAATACATGAGCCCAGTAGGTTTGCATCTCAAACAGAACACTCTTTATAAGCTGTAACTTACCTGCATATGAATGGAATCTAGAGGTCCAACAGTTGATTCTAGAAACTATCTTATCTACCAGTGGCATACATTGACTGATGGTGAGTTTATTTGAAGATATTGGAACACCTAAGTATTTGAAGGCGAGAGTATAAGAAGAGAAGTGTAGCCTATTCAGCATTTGTTCCTTGAACTGAGGTGTTACCCCTGCTACATAGAAAGAGCTCTTGTCCATGTTAGCCTTAAGCCGTGAGGTAGCAGAGAAATGTTCGAAGCAACTCATCAGAAGTTTAATAGAGATTCTATCAGATCTACAACACAGTAGTAGGTCATCATCAAAACAAATGTGTGATCTCTAACTTAGAACATTTTGGATGGAAGTTGGAGTTTGGAATCAACTTCAACCTCGTCAAAGTTCTGCTTAGAAATTCCATAACTAGGACAAAGAGATTGGGTGATATAGGATCATCCTGCCTCAACCCTCTCTTGGCTGGAAATCTAGGAGTTAAGCCTCCATTAATGAGCGAGGAGTAGTTTGACAGTAATGACACATTCCATGATTAGATTGACCATTCTGGTTGGAATACCAAATTCCAGCAATAGTCCCTTTAAGAAGCACCATTTAACAGAGTCATATGCTTTCTTCATATCTACTTTAATCAGACACCTAGGGGATACTAATTTCTGTGTATATCCGTTGACTAATTCATGTGCTATGATGACACTGTCTAGTATGTTTCTCCCTTCAATAAAGGCAGATTGAGCAGGTCCTACCAAATAATCAATTGTTATTTTCAGTCTTGCATTCATGATTTTGGCTATAATCTTGTATAAAGTGGTGCAACAAGCAATTAGCCTGAACTATTTCATATATATTGGATTAGTTACCTTTAACACCAGTGTTACTGCAGTACAATTGACTTCTTTCAGCATTTTCCATTCTTAAAGAATTGTAGAACTGCAGTGGTCATATATTCACCAATGACTGGCCAGAATTCCTTGAAAGACTCTGCAGGATAGCCATCAAGGTAATTTGTCAGGTGGGAGAGAGTGAACTGCTTGTATAATCTCTTCTCTTATTACAGGCGCCAAAAATTCCCATTGTTGGGTCAGTCATAAGTAGGGGCCATTCCTAATAATAGTCAAGCCAATCCCTAGAAGCTCTGTTGCTGCTGTCTCCATTTTTGGCATTGCTGCTCAATTTCCAGTTGATTTAGTTTAACAATTTTGACTCCATCCTTGATTTTTGGTGAATATAACCTTAATTGTATCCCTTGTTGTTGGGCTCGATTGCCTTTAACCACCTCAGTCATCGTCTTCATGTTGCCTCACGATTCAGCTGAGTATGTTAACTTCCTCGCTGCCTTAGCCATGTTTGTTTCCGATGGATCTGCCTTGGCTGGTTCAATAGTTGGCGAAACTTGCATGATTGTGGGGGCACTGCCCATACCTGGTAACCAATGTAACATTTGCGAGCACTCTCTGTGTCTGGTGTAACCATACGACTAGTGATTTCCTTGTGCTTTGGTGAGTGTGGAAAGATGGATCCGGTGGGATCTACCGCCGGCGAGCAATGGTGCACGTTAGCAGTCCTTGCTTAACGTGCCAAGCTACCGTTTATGATGTTTGTACACACAACAACAAAATATATAGTACAATTTATTTATGTTACTTGTTCCAGTTACAATCTGAATTTTCAATCAAACCATCTCGAGTATTTAAACTCCAAAGGATATTTTAAATTATTTGTAATAATATGCAATCTAAATAAATAATAATTTCACCATACTTAATTTTTAAATTTAAAGTTTCGAAGCGTTTAATGAATATCAATGGTAAAACTATTAGGGGTCGTTTGGTAGAGTGTATAAAAATAATGTTGAATAGAGTATATTA